TGACCCGGACAGTCGTTGGATATCCCCGGAATTTCACTGAGGTGCTGACACCTGTTTTCACGCATTCTGATACAACTGTGGTTGTAACAGACTATTTCCGGCAACGTCGGACGTTGTGAAATATTCTGTAGGCTAGGCGTTGCAGTAGGTCATAAATGAGCCAATGTGAAATATTACTGATGTTAGCTAAAATGCTAAATAACGCCCGAAATCGATAAGTATCTTGCCTCGTTTGCGGTTATTCTCAAAAAGAACCAATTCATGTTCAAAAGCTGATCAAAACTCCATTCGCGAGTAAGAACTTTGAGGTTGATTCTAAGCATAGAAGTATCTAGAGAGAGACCTAAGTGCATATGGAATATGGCCATAACCCCAGCAGTTGATAATGCGTAATATGAAACTGAAACCCAGTTGCAGTAATGTCAATCATACCATATCTTTGCTACTCCGTATCATGCCTCTTAAATGCATGCAGCAGTTGAATTTTTACCATTTACCATTTAGATCCAGAGCTCAATAAAACAATACATAAATGCACAGAGATTAAGCGGAGAGCGTTAAAAATATGTATCCGTTTAGGAATTAAGTGCTTTTATGTATTTTAGCTGCCAAGTTGCCCACAAGCACCTCGCTAGCTAAGTTGTTCGGATTTGCGAAACAGGAGACGGAACGAGAAGAAACATCCGTGTCTGTGATTGAAAAGCGACTGAGAAACGTGACTTCTACGCCGCTCTGCAAACTTGGCAATGTTTACGTTTCGGTGTGGCGGGCGATTGTCAGGTTGTCGCAGGACCCGGACCCAAGCGTTGCTGACGTCGCGAGCCGTCTGATTGTGCACGTTGTCGAAGCGGCTAATACCGTCTCTCGAAGCAGTCCGTCGTTCATCAAGGATGGAACGAAGAGTAAACGAATAGTCACCTGTACCAACATGTCATACAGTGATGAAACAGGCGATTCTCTGCTTTCTAAATCGCGACCGAAGTTTTCCATTGGTTCGCCTGGTGATTCGCTGAGCCACTCTCCTTCAGGTTAGCGTTTATTATCACGACGCATCTAACGCCAGTAAACATGACCTTGTCAGCTGTATTCCTGACGAAGGATATTTCCTCCTACGCAGATAACCGCTCTTGCAAGGACTGTTTCGCGAACCTTCATTGAAACCTTGTGTAGAACT